ACTAACTCTCCCATTATCCTAGTGAAACACATATTGACTATTAAATTTGCTTAAGTTAAAGGTCACGATTATTTGTCAAAAATACTTTTTAAATTTATGTGTAGTAGGAACGTTTCCCTTACTTAATTATCCATAATTTTATATAAATTATTAATATAAATATTTTTATGGAGACACCACAATCACCATTTTTTATCCATGAATCACTTCCCAAAATCAAGTAATTAAAATAGTGGATCATCAAACTTATTTATGCAAAATTAGCTAAACATAAATGTTGACCTTTGACGTGTTTATTGGATGAATATGCGCGCTCTTCATTGGAGTCTAAATTCATCGCATCAAATTTATCATCAGGCAATCGGTTTTAAGAATTTGAAATTGTGGGTTCGTACACATCGAGCCTGTTTAGACCATTGAAGTTGTAGAGGGCGAGAGAAGAGGCTCCAATCAAGTCTAGAATGGCGACGATCTTCACTTCACGCAGAAGATTACAGAAGAAATTGTTTTTACTTTTGGGATGAGAAAAATGAGGAGTAATATTGAAATGATGAATACATCATAATACCTTCTTTTTTTCTTTTTCGTTTTTGTTTTTATTGAATTAAGAGTATAATTGTAAATTTATTGTGGTGTATTTATTTAAAATACATTTTAATTATAGTGTGACTATAATGCGGTGAAGTAAGTAAATTTTGTAGAGGTAATATAATTACCCTTTAACATATTATAGATTATTATTATTATTTTGGGAGCAGAAATCACATATTACACCTGTATATCACATGGTGTGAGGGAAGATTCATCGTCGGAACTCAGCATTAATTTCAGTTTAATGAAATTTGAAAATATAATAATCAAGTTGCGTGTTCCATTAATATTGAGGGTTGACCTCGAAATGCAAACATCACTGTCTTAATGAGTCAGCATTACATAGTTTATTCTGAAATTGTTTATCTAAAATGATATTTGGTATTTTATGTTTGTAATGAAGCTTGGACTTTGGTCATAAATACCAATTTCTGGAGGAGAAACAGTCATACATCTTACCTGCAATTTGTCCATCCCCCTTATTCCATAAACAGGGACTGACATGGCTACCTCTCAATCCATCCTGAGAAAAATTCTACGAGATAGAAATGTCTGTAATCTCATCGAAACGTCACTCGATGAAAATTAAAAATTTGAAACATTTGTTGGGGCAGAGAAGACTTGTTCCAATCGCCATTGCCTACATGGTGTTGTGATTATGTTGTTCAAAACCCAAAAAAAAAAAAAATAATAATAATAATAATAAAAATAAAAAAAATTAGTTCATGCGACCGCATGGCCTAAAGCCATGTGACCGCATGGTACAATTTTTTTGTCGTTGGAGGCCCTTTTCTCCAGTTGTAAATTTAAATTTTGTGACTTTTGGCTTAAAGTTTAGTACCATTTCGTGAATGTGATGTATGCCTATATATATTTGATCCACGTTGAAGGCAAAAACATCAAGGTTCCATATTACTTCCAAAATCAAAGATCAAAGTCTTTAAAAGCTATATTCATATTTATTATTTGTGTTCTTCAAATTCTCTAGGATTTGCACTTTTGCTTTGGTACTTAAATCCTTGCAAGGCTTGTTTTAATCCTACAAACCATTTGCCAACAACTTTCGAAGCATTTCAAATTCATAGGAGAAGTGGCAAATATCGCTTGAGGACAACGATATCGTGTTCAAGCCGTTTGTTGATACAGGTTCGTGATTATCTTGTTATTGATATTTTCGGTTCATATTTTGTAATCTCTACTCCAATCCGATGAAATTTTGTTGGAAATGCTAATAATAGCAAATCTTATAGATTACTAAACTTGGAGACCTATGTGATTATCAAATCAAGTGATGTAGAGCTCTTTGAAGATTTGTTATCATCGGATAATGAGTTAAAAAAAAATATTGAAAACATCCCTAACTCAATTGGAACACATGATGAAATGTCTTCTAAAGACGTTGATAAGTCTAGTGAACAACGAAGAAGCAAGAGAACTCGAGTTGATAAGTCTTTGGGACCGGATGAATTGATTCTCAACTTATTTCCTTTTACTTAGTAGAAGGAAATGAGTTGAATGTTGTAAGAACAATTCCTTTTGTTCTACAAGTGAAAACCGACCCTAAAACCTCTAAAGAAGCCATGGCTTCTCGTGATAGCATTTTTTGGAAAAATGCAATTAAAAATGAAATGGATTCAATAATGTCTAATAAAACTTGGAAACTTGTCGATTTACCATCGAGATCCAAACTTATTGGATGTAAATGCGTATTTAGGAGGAAATATAATGCTGATGGCTCTCTAAATACTTTCAAAACTAGATTAGTAGTTAAAGGATATCAACAAAAGGAAGGAATCGACTATTTTGACACTTATGGACTGGTAGCTAGAATAACATCGATTAAAATATTATTTGCATTAGCTTAAATTTATAACTTGCATGTTCATCAAATAGATGTCAAGATGGCATTCTTAAATAGGAATCTCGATGAGGAGGTCTATATTGAGCAACCCAAAGGGTGCGCTCTACTTGAAGATGAACATAAGGTATGCAAGTTAGTAAAATTTTTATATGGTCTGAAACAGGCACCTAAAAAATGGTATGAGAAGTTTGACTTAGCTATAACATCATTCGAATTTAAACATAATAGCGTAGATAGATGTTTATATTCTAAAGTGTATCATAATTATGTGACATTTTTATATTGAAGACATGTTAATTATGAGTAATCACATGGACGGTATAGAAGAAACAAAGAAGTTTCTATCTTCCACATTCAAGATGAAGAATCTTGGTCAAGTGGATACCATTTTAGGCATCAAAGTCACAAAGACTAGTAGGGGTTATCATCTAAGTCAATCACATTATATTGAGAATGTGATAAACAAGTTCAAATACTTGAACATTAAAGAATACAGTAACCCGGTTGATCCAAGTTCAAAACTTGTAAAGAATGATGGAAGGGTGATTGCTCAATTGGAATGTGCTAGTGTAATCGGAAGTCTTATATATGTAGTTCAATGCACAAGATCGGACATAACCTATGCTATAAGTAAACTTAGTAGGTTTACTAGCAATCCGAGAAATAATCATTGGAAGGTCATTGGAAGAGTTCTTGGATACTTAAGAAAACCAAGAATCTGGGCATCCAATATACTAAATTCTCGACGGTATTAGAAGGATTTACCGATGCTAGTTAGATATCTAGCGTGGGTGAGAGTAAATCCACTACGGGTTGGGTGTTCACTCTTGGAGGATGTGCTATTTCTTAGAAATCAAATAAACAAACATGCATAACACACTCGACCATGGAATCTGAATTTGTAGCCCTATCGGATACCAAGAAAGAGGTTGCGTGGCTTAAGGATCTCCTTTTTTTAGATACCTTTGGGATCGAAGAATATTTCTTCAATACCTATCATGTGTGATAGTCAAGCCACATTAGCAAAAGCATATAATGAGGTATACAACGGAAAGTCTAGACACATGAGTCTTAGACATGACTATATAAAGAAATTAATCAAGGATGGAATAATTTTCCTAAATTATGTAAGATCAATTGAGAATTTGGTAGATCATTTGACTAAACCTCTAAACAGAGATTTAGTTGCATCTACTTCGAGTAGGATGGGGTTGAAATTACTTAACTAAAAGAGTCCACCAATGACAGCAACCCTACCTGTCATTGCTCAAAAGATAATTTACGGGTTCAAAGGGTAACAACAGGTCATTCAATATGTGAATAATTGCAACATTATTGAAAAATTCGCAATAATCCTATCATAATTATAATAATGCTGGTTGTTATTGAAATGAGAGATGAGCTTTAAACTCTTAATGAAGTTCAGTGCTAAAACACAAGTACCACTAAAGATAACAAAGGTACTGAAAGAACTTCACCTAAACAATCTTCAAGGTGGTGCCGCCTTAATAGAGAGTTGGAGTTTCTTTCTTAAAAGATTGTTGAAACGAATAAGTGCAAGGCCATAAAAGCGCTAAGCGAGTTATGATGAACTTAAGAACAAGTGGTACTCATGTGTATGTTCTTACCAGTATTGTCATATGGAATAACTGGTTCAAAACTACACGCTACTTTGATTCCGACTATACTTTGTTTGAATTACACTATGGTTAGATTCAAATCGAAAGATATCTAATCCTTTTGTATGAGTATTGTATATCATGAATATGAGACTTGTTAAATTTGAACAAGTGGGGATTGATGTGATTATGTTGTTCAAAACCAACAATAATTAAAAAAAAAAAAAGTGGTCCATGCAACTTAAGCCATGCAGTTGCATGGCCATATGTCGAGACCATTTGGTCTCAGCATGGGTGAACCAAGCGGCCGCATGTTTTTGTACCATGCGGTCGCACGGTACAATTTTTTGACTGTTGGAAGTCGTTTTCTCTCATTGTAAATTTAAATTTGGTGACTTTTGGATTAAAATTTGGTACCATTTCATGAATGTGGTGTATGCTTATAAATATTGGATCCATGTTGAAGGCAAAAAATCACAAAAACATCAAGGTTCCATATTACTTCCAAAATTAAAGATCAAAGCCTTTAAAAGCCATATTCATATTCATCCTTTGTGTTCTTCAAGTTCTCTAAGATTTGCACTTGTGCTTTGGTGCTTAAATCCTTGCTAGACTTGTTATAATCTTGCAAACCATTTGTCAACAACTTTCGAAGCATCTCAAATTCATAGGAGAATAAGCAAATATCGTTTGAGGACAACAATATTGTGTTCAAGCCATTCATTGATACAAGTTCGCGATTATCTTGTTATTGGTGTTTCTGGTTCATATTTTATGATCTCTACTCCAATCCGGTGAAATTTCTCCAACAGTAAAACTATGCCCCTGGTATGACCAAGTAAAGGAATTAGTACGACAACTCGAGGATTCAACAATCTATTGCAAGATGTTAGGGGCCTCTCTAAGACAGGAAATTCTTCGAGTTACTAATGTCACTTGTGCAAGAGCTGAGGGTATACTTCACAATACCAAAGCAGCGAATGTCCGAGGTTGCTCCTACTCCCCAGCCTAATGAAGTTGTTAAGGTCTTTATTGACTTTCTCCTCCAAATTTTAAAAGAAATAATGCGTCTTGAGCCAGATTTCATTGTTTCAGTCAAGGGTTCTTTCCAAAATCTCCAGACAGAACTTGGATTTCTTACCACCTTCCTTGGAGATGTACCTATGCGCCTACAGTTCACTGAGGTGAATGAAACCAAGAATATATTGTCAGACATCAAAGTTGTTGTCAATGAGGTTGGAAGTTTCTTATAATCATTATTTTCCGCAAGGGATGACGAAGTCCTGGAGGCTAGAAGATTGAATCTTGCTCTTTCTGATTTCTTAAGAAAGTTTGAGCTCTTGGAAACAAAGATCAAGGTGCACTGCATCACAGTCTCGAAGTTGTCAGGTTCTGTCGATATAAAGAGTAGTGTGGTTTCACTCTTCATTGTGGATTCCCTTCTCGATGATCTCGAGGACCTTATCAATTATAAAGCTGAGAGGATTGTTGGTGTGAAGGATCTAATTACAATACTCTATGAGGAGGTAACATTGTTGAGATCCACCTTCAATGATATTGCTGTGGCACGGCACATACAACTTGAAGAACTCATGATACAAACCCGAGTCGTAGCATATGAAGTTGAATATGTTATCAACTCGTTTCCTCCTATCTGGTATCTCAATATCAGGCTCCCTCAAATCCTGGAGAAGATTCAGCTTATTAAGATGGCAATACAGGAAAAGAACAGGACTGTTGATGCTGGAATACGAGAAGAAGGATATCCATGCGGGCAAGTACTGCCATATGCTAAAGAATCTCCCCATTTGGAAGATATTTTTGTGGGTTTCAAGGATGAGAAAAGAAAAATTTTAGAGCAACTCACCAGAGAACCACATCGGCAACAGATTATCTCCGTTGTTGGGATGCCGGGACTTGGTAAGACTACTTTAGCAAAGAAATTATTCGATGATCCTTCCATTTTCTGTCACTTTGACAAGCGTGCTTGGTGTGTTGTTTCTCAAAAATATAAAAAGAAAAACTTATTGATCGAAATGTTGACATCGACAAAAAACCTTAATAAAAAAACAATCTTGAAAATGGAGGAAGAAATGGATGGAGAAACTTTGGGCGAACAGTTTTATAAAAGTTTAAAAGGAACGAGATACCTAATTATCATGGATGATCTATGGCAAAAGGAAATGTGGGAAGACTTGAAAAAATATTTTCCAAATGATGAAAGCATAGGAAGTAGAATCTTATTCATGACTCGGAACAAAGAAGTGGGTTCACTTGGTGTTGTTAATGAACTTCCTTTCCTATCAGAAGCTGAATGTTGGGAATTATTAAAGAAGGTGTTCCGAGCTGAACCTTGCCCTCCAGGATTGCTAGAGATTGGGAAGGAGATTGCCTCAAGTTGTCATCGTCTTCCCCTGTCAGTCCTGATGATATCTTCCGTCCTTGCAAATATGGAGAAGAAAGAGAGCTCGTGGATAACAGTGGCAGGAAGTTTAAGCACACACATATTTGACCACACAAAGAATTGTCTCCACGTACTGAAACTTAGTTACCAGCATTTATCAGTTCATCTGAAACACTGTTTTCTATACTTTGGAGTATTTGCAGAGGACGAAGTGATCCCAGTACGAAAGTTGATATCTCTATGGGTTGCCGAAGGGTTTATAAACAAAGAAACCCACAAGAGCTCAGAAGATGTGGCATACCATTATCTAATGGATCTAATTCATAGGGGTCTGGTACTTGTTCATGAAAGAACATCTAACGGTGGAGTCAAAACTTGCATTATTCATGATCTATTGCATGATATGTGCCTGAGGGATGGGATCAAAATGTAAGTTCTTAGTCTCTCTTCTTTCTTCTTTCAATTTTTTCTATTTTTATCTAGATTACTAATTTATGTTAATAATCTTTGATGGTCACACTAACGATGCTTTTGTTTTGTTTCTGATGATGATTGGATATAACTATTTTGTCATCACTTTGGTTCTTCAGCGGATCATCAATATATGAGCAAGATGGGAGTCTCTTGAGTTGGTTATATCTTTCTTATCCAAGACCTTTTGGTCCACATGTTCACTCTGTGTTAGGCCGCAGGGTCATGGATTTGACGCGTTCATATTTGGCATTTGATAATATAAGTAAAGGAATAGAAAAGCTGGTTCACTTGAGGTACTTGGCATCAATAGAAAATCTCCACAAACTAGAATATCTTCTTGTGAAGAATAAAGAACAAGTTGAAATACCAGAGATCGTTCTTAACATGAAGAATTTGAAACATCTTCATTTCAGAGGTGGTGCATACTTCAGTGAAACTTGCCATTTGCGAGCAACTAAGGATGGGAGCTTCCAACTAAATCTACAATCTATTTCTTTACTTGTTATTCGTAATGAAATGGATGCAAAAGTTTTGGGATGTGCACCCAATCTCCGCAGATTGAAATGCAAGTTTCAGTGTCCTTTCCAGTTCCCTGATCGATTTGAATCACTAAGTATTAGAATTGTATATAAGAAACTGTATGTAGCAAGGAATGCCTTTATTGAATTTTGTAACATCACATAACAACTCTTTTCAAACCATCCAATCTTTTAAAGGAGAGAGGACCTAATATATTGTGCCAAACATGGATTGAAACATGATTTACATATGAAATTGAAACTGAGTTTAGGACATTTGTGTCAAGAATATATAAATCCTGCAAACGATCACCCCTGCCGATCACTCTCCTGGTTTTGGCCTCCTGAATAATAAAATGGTCTTGAAAGAAGTTGATATTGAATTGTGATTCAAGAGTTAGAGTTCTAACAGACAACAAATTAAACTTGAACTGTGGCACAAACAAGACATCATGTAGAATGATACTTGGGCTTAACCTGACATCACCACATAACCTTACTGGGATTTGTGTGTGGTTTGGCAATGTAACTGTAGAATTATCAATAATTCTCATTGACAAGAAAGCAGCAGCAATAAAGCATACATGTTTTGTTGCACCTGAATCCACTATCCAAATGTCTTTGGATGAAAACATAGGATCAATTGTTATGGAAGAACATATACCTGCTCCATATGAAATAAATTTGTTGTCCTGCTGATTAGTAGCAGTGATGTTTGATCTTGATGCCAAGTAATTGGATAACATGGACATTAATTGCTGATACTGGTTGGAATTTAAGCTCCGAATAAAGTTCCCAAAATTTCGCTGTTAATCAAATTGCTTACCCTCAGTCTGATGGTTAACTGATGCAGAGATGAGAGAACTGATTAACAGCCTTCGAGCCAGGGCTAATTCGGAAGTTGTCCCTTGAGTTACTGTTGTGAGTACTGGAATTACTCACTGAATGATTTAAGAGGTAAGGGCTTGAAGGTTCATCAATGGCCAATCTGTTCATTGATGACCTTGAATCAAACTGAATTTCGGATAGTAATGACTCCATATGGAGATTAGATCAGACAACAGATTAATTGAATCTGTGAAAAATAGGGACGAACAGAAGATCAAACAAAAGATTGATCAAATCTGTGAGGATGAAAGAAGAAAGTGGAAAAAATGTTGCTCTGATACCATGTTGGTTTGAAGAAGAGAATTGAACTGATATTATTGATCATACTATCAAATGAAAATAAGCATACAAACTTGCATAAATAGCACCCAAAGTTGGTGCCAAAATGACAGCTGGACACACCTAACTAACTGAAAAACAAAACAAACTAATATCTGATACATTTACATACAGTTCCTTAAATACAATTCTAATACTAAGCATCAGTTCGATGAACGATTCAGGTCCCAATTTTCCCTTGAATCTCAAAAAATTGACTCTACGTAATTTTTATTTGCCATGGAAAAAGGTCAGGATGATTGGGAGATTGCCAAACCTTACGTTATGGTATCTTCTGGAATAACCAATGGGACACAAAAGAAGGTGAGTTCCAAAAACTCAAGTTCTTCGAGCTAAATAATGTAAGGGTTGATAGCAGCTGGTATGTCAAAGCAGAATGAAATCCCACAAGTGATGATTACCCAAAACTAGAACGACTAGTGTTGAGAAATGTCTACTGTTTGAGGAAGATCCCTTCCAGTTTAGGTTATATTTTAACCTTACAGAAGATTGAGGTATATGGGTGCACAGAATCTATCACAAAATCTGCTGTGGAAATTCGGGAAGAACAACAAGAAATGGGATATGAAAAGCTTAAAGTTATCATCTCCCACTACCAATTCAAATAGAGTAAAAGGAGCATGACTTTTGATGGTATACTATGACTCTTTCTTTCGATCTACATAAGGCTTAGGGACTTGTTTATTGTGCATATAACAAAAACAAACATCAGAAGTTTACACCATTTCATCTTTTCTTGATTTAAGAATCCAACGGGTTCCAACATTATTTTATGGCTTATCATATGTCTCTTAATGCTCGATTTTAGTTAGTGGTGTCTCTTATTTTGTTGACATTGCCTTTTTAACTTCCTGATAATGTGTTAAAAGAAGAAAACGCTGGTCATTTTAACCGGTTAATTATTGAATGAAAATTATAGAACTTGAATTTGTCTAATTCCTTTCGATCCTTTATCGATATTTTTCAAATCAATGATTCTGTTGATCAAATAAATAACGAGATATCAGTGTAGAATTAATCAGATTGTAATTTAAATCAGTTTTGGATATAAGTTGGAATCAACGAGCTTCCATCTTGTTCTTGGTTTTGTTTTATGCTTCCGTTTTTGTCAGCTTGTTATGCTGTTCTAGGATTTGCTATCGTATACAGTTCTTTTCTCGGTGCGTTGATTCTATAACACTTCAGTTTTTATGGCAATTTAATAAATTCTAAACAGAAAGTACAAATTCAGAAAACCTTAGATAACCCTTTAGATCCTAGCAACTTCAGAAGAATATTCGTGTCGTATGGCCATAAATTAACACTTATTCCATTTGTACAAAAAATTGTTCTACAGAATTGCACAAAAAAATCTCACATTGTGCAGGTTCCATATTGAGATAAAAAAGGCCAAAAAATCACACAACCCCCTATTGTGTCTTATCTATTGGCATTCTGTGAAATGCAGTTCCGTGACTGCAAAATTGCTCATAAATTAATGTGTGCGCTCATGAGTTCTTCGTCAAGGAAGAACTTTGTAAATTATATATATTTAGAAAGATCCTTGCCCTCTACTTTAACATGTAAAAGTAAGTTTAAAGATGATTAATGCATTTTTTCTATTTGTGAAAGGCTTCGTTAAGACCATGGCTTAGGACAATGTAAAGAAGGGCTTGAGCTCACAACCTAGCCCAATATAAATAGAATAATGTTATCTAGTACCAGTGATGTTAAATACAAGTTTAGGTGTCAATATATTATAGGTCCTATTAAATGGACCATAATTTCTTGTATTTAGTTGAACGTTTAATTTAATATCATTAGTGTTGTCACTAAATTGGTGTTAAATATCAATGGTGCTAATAGTATTACTCATATAAATAACAACATTGGTGCAAGCATAAGTTCCCAATTATAATCTCTTGCACTAACTTCCACATGAGCTAATATGATTAATACCAGTAAGCTATTGTTCACTAATTTGTGGAACTCCTCCAATTTATTATCTAATGATTTGATGATCTTAATCTAATCCATTGCACGATATACATATATTTTATGTTGAGGGTTGGTTCGTCACCTCTCTCAAGAACTATCCTATGAGGAAAACCTTTATACCGAATAAAATAAAATAAATAAATAAATAATAATAATAAAGACACAAAAACATAGCTTTATTCATTGAGGTGTTTCAACCAACAAAAATAAAAATATTCAAGTGTTCGATTCGTACTAGTGGAAATTGCAAAGGAAAGATAATAGTTTCTTTTTCTTTCTGAATACTATCAAATATTTTCTAATTCTCCCTTACAATATGTTAGTGTAGTTAAGGAATCACCGTTTTTTTTTTTTTTTTTTTTTTTAAAACAGCCCATCAGGTATTTTATTCATAAAACCATCACTTGAGGTGGAGGAAGATCGTAGCAACAGTCCATCAATCAATAAAAAAATCTAATCTCCTATCAATGTAACCACATAACAAAAATAGTCTATCTTTTCCAACGAATGTACAACACACCCATCCTATCTAGACGGATCAATCATCGATAAAGCCTTGGTAGTTCCATACATAATGAGAACCATCCTGTCTTCCCCTTCACACCAAACTTCGCCAACTTGTCCGCAACCTGATTAGCTTTCCTATACTGATGCATGATGTGAAAGTAAAATTTCCTGAGAAGCTAAATTAAAACTTCCCAAAAATCCCACAAGTACCATAGCGTACATTTCCTTGCCAAAATCCAGGAAACCACCAACAACGAATTACACTCAATATCCACCTGAAATAATCCTAAATCCTGACACGATCAATCCATCAATAAGCGCCGTCAACTCCGCTTCATTGTTAGTGCCATATCCAAAGAAAGAAGAAAAACCTGCTATTAATCTGCCCATATCATCCCTAACAACAACACCACCTCCAGCTCTGCTAGCCAGAGGTTTAGCCCATATAACAACCCGAAAAGGTCTCTCCTATGACACCATTGGAGTAATATCAAAGTTTCTAAGAAGTAATTCTTCTGATGTGAAAGGGCTCGTTCCTTTTTCAGGTTGGATGACACAAGTCGCAGCCAGAATTTTATCGAGCCGAGAATCTCCTCCACAATTTCATGAACATCTTCCATTCTCGCTTTATAACGTCTCATCCATAGTCTCCACGTAAGTATAGTTGCAAGTAGCCCTTGTAAGCATACAACCTATGATTTTTTTTATCTGCTCTGGCCCATCATAAATTTACTCTATCATACCAATTTTGTTTAGAGGCATGTTTGGGCCCAATTTTTTCCCCCAAAAAATTGATTTTTTGACCGTTATTTCACTATTTCAGCCGTTATATTTGACTTCTTCTCTCACAAGTGGACCCTACTTTTCTCCTAACGGTCAAAAAATCAATTTTCAAAATTACTTCCAAACAGGCTCTAGATCTCCACCGCACGCCCAAAGCCACCAACACTTTTCTCCAAACTTCATTTGCCACCTCACCTATACTCAGAACATGGTTAGTAGTTTCTTCCATTCTCGTAAGGCAGCAATCACAACAAGAAGCTAAGGCTATACCCATATGACGAACTACATTATCAACACTTAGAGCTCCAGAAAAAGCTTTCCACATTATCACTTACATTCTTTTTGGAGTGCAGAATGTCATACCCATCTTCCCCAAGCAATTTGGGATGTCAAACTATAATCATGTCCCATGCACTCTTGGAAGAGAAGGTTCATTAACTACTCGATTTCCAAATAAGAACATCATCCCCGTCTCTATATTTACTCACCTTAGCCATAACAATAACGGCTTTGTCTTCCCCTACAAGTGGCAGTAATTGATCCACATTCCCGCCGCTATCCAAGCAAACATCTTTGATTCTAAGAGTTGGTTGATCAATATGTAATGCGTGCCTTGACAAAGGGCCATCATCTAACCAATGGGCATACCAGGACGAGATAGAACCCTACTTAATTCGTCATTGACTATTGTTCATCACATCAGGAATGCATTCCATAATAGAGCCCCAAAATCGAGATCCTATATCGCGCAAACTGGAGACGTCAATCAAACCATGCTTAGTATATTTTGTCCGAAAAAATGTTGCCCATAAGCAATTTGATGACAGTAATTTCTATGCAAACCATGCTTAGTTAAGGAATCACCTAATGCCACATTCGTCTAAAAATTGAAACTCAAAAGCTAATATATTTTAATAGGTGAATTTATGCATCTAGATGAGAAGCAATGAATTGGTACTCTATAGTTTGCATTTTTGAACTAAAAGATGGAAATTTCGGAATTAGTGTTTGATAAATTGAAATTGAATGTCATGTCCTACTGATATTTAGTCTCCACTTGGAGAGTAGAATACATTACTTTCATTATTTCACCCTCCAATTAGTTGTCCCCCTAACATCTCCATCATCATAGGCACTGATGGTTGATACAAATTCTAGAAGGAGATGGTGATCGACATTTGCATACTTCAATGTATTTATTTATACATCAAGAACGAAAATTTGAAGTGTTTCTTAGGTGGGAAAGAATCATGCTAATTTTCGTTGGCTATATCATAAAATGGTTTTTCCATCATAAGAAGTAATCGATTTGCTACATTGTCTGATGATTCAGCAATATTAAATCACTTGATTTAAAAGTTTAAGTTATTAGAGAGATCAAATATATCATTTTAATCTTTGTTGTTGACATTAAAAAA